AGCATGGTCATTTCTATCCTTTCCTTTTCATACCAGGACGTAATTGCATCTATAAAAATTATAGTGTTTATCTTCCCATGTTATGTAGTTGCTTTTCTTTCAATTATTTTTTTCTTCTCTACAATATTAACCTGTTAAGCCTAGAATAGAATAATACATACTTCTAGAAAAATGACCTTATCAGATAACCTACCTTGTTCTTAAACAAGTCACCTATCTCTTGTCCTTGGGTGTATTTTTGCTAAGAACAATGTAAGAATTTTCTAGGCAGATCTAATACCTGTATTCTTAGTAATTTTTAAATACCTCTACCTTCTGGGAGTGTTTCTGATATACATACATTTTACGATTTTTCTGGAAAGGCCTTTACTGTAGTTTATTCTAATAGTTAGAATGGGTCCAGAAACCAACAGCCACACTCCAATAGGTGCCTTCCTTTGGTTGAACAAAAGAAAAATGATTATAAAGGTTCACATGCTACTATATTCTTTTCACACTTAATATCCCAATGGATTCTTGTGTCTAGGTACACTTTTACTGGAATATATACTTTTGAATCACTTGTAAAAATCCTTGCAAGAGGCTTCTGTGTAGGAGAATTCACTTTCCTTCGTGACCCGTGGAACTGGCTTGATTTTGTCGTCATTGTTTTTGCGTAAGTACTTTCAGTTTTTTGAAATGCCAAACTCATGAAAATCTCAGACTGCACAGTATTCAGGAAGGACAAACCTTTGGGGCCTGACTTTTCCTGAATATAATGGTTACATTTAAAGCATACTGTATGAATCTAGTCATCAAAAAATACTGATTTTTTTTCAGAAAGAGCATTTCCCACTCAAAAGTCTATGAGATCATTAAAATAGATGATCTTCCTCCATGCTCAGCAGTTGAATGGATAGTATATGCGATACCAGTTAGGTTCACCCTTTTTCCAGGTTCTTATGCAAAAACTGATAAAACCTGTAAGAAACACAGAAAAACTCAGGCCTTATTATAAGTGTGGTACTCTTTTTATTAACTGAATTATTAGCTAATAAGTATATTAAAATATGTAAGTAAATCTTTTTATGAGGGCTGCCACCTCATACTAAACCTAACATTAATGCATTATGCATGTATTACATATGCCTCCACAGTTTATTTTCAAGTGAAAAATACCACATTAAGGTGTAATTTAATTTATTCACATTGCTACTTTTTCCTAAGTATATTGTCAGAAACATTTCCGTATGTTTTAAATCTCAAACCTGGATACAATACTTTTCCCTCTCTCATTTTGAATTGTAAAAGTAATACATGTTCATTGGAGGAATTTAGACAATATAGGAGGGTCTTAGGACCTCTAGTCTCCAGTTCCTGCATACCCTGCCCCAGCTCCTTGTCAATCAGGCTGGCTCTCTTTGTGGTCACCTAGAACCGCTGTAGTTCCACCCACCACCTGCTGATAAGAAACACTGAGTCAAAGAAGGCTGCATCTTCTCAGGGGTCTCCTTTTTTATTGAGTATAATTTACATACCATAAAATTTACTTTTTTAAAGTATGAAATCGAATGTTTTTTAGTATGTTCACAAAATCGTGCAATCATCACCACTTTCTAATGCTAGAATATTTTCATCACCCCAGAAATCAGTCACTTCCACTCCCTTCTCCCCTAAGTCCCTGGGAACCACTCTATG